ACATGAGTCCAAAATCCCTGGGGACATCCTACTGCTCTGGCAGACCTCCACTGTGATCACTTAAACGAATCAAGAACATCTGGTCTGTATTTGTGCTAAAGCCCCTGACAGTTTAAAATCAAAGAAAGTTTGGCAAAATGTAATCTTGGGTCTGCTGAATCTAGGATTTAAAAAAAAAAAAAAAAGGCCAGGAGGTATAACAAAGCCTGATACACAGTAAGGCCAACTTTAACTTTGTAAATCCAGGAAGGTTTGTCAAAGTAGTTTTTTCTGATTTCCCAATACTGTACCAATGGCATGCACTTCCAAGTCAAATCTGCCACTTGTGTGTTTGGGTGTGTACATCAGGTGAGCAGGCAGGAGGTATGGGTTAGTGAAAGATTAAATTTATATACACACACAGAGAGACATATATGTATATATACATATAAATATATAGACATATATACGTGTACATGTACATATGCATAAATTATACATATACATAGATTCATACGTACATATGGGCCCCAGCACCCTGGTTTTTCTTGGGCTGCTCCATGGACACACTTCGGAGAAATACTAGATCTTAACCCGAATCAGACACAGGTGCCTGGAATGCAGATGACTCACCACCTGCGATTTCACTGCTTTCATTCTGGATCCATTCACCAGACCACTATTAAACACCTGCTATGTGCTTCACCAAGCCCTGGAGTTCCTCACTGTTGCACACATGCCTGTTCATTCTAATCCCATGTTTAAATCTACACTTTTATTGTGCTTTAAAAAACAAACAAACCCAGAACTGAAGCCCACCACTTAACAGCAGCCTAGGGTACTGCAAACATTTCTGTGCTTGCTCTTTGCTGGCTGCAATGGACTTCAAAGGCAGAGGGCTTGTTTTTACTCCCTCTGACTCTCCTACTGTTTATTCACCCATAGAAAATCAGTGGCATGACAGAGCTACTCTGACTGTGAAGGGTGAACCTGTCATCTAGGCACAGGGCACCCTGGGGAGGCAGGCGGTGGTGAGAGAGGAAGCGTAGGAACTTTGCTTACTCCCAATCCTCCCACTGTTTGCTCTGGAGAAATGAATCCCGGAGCAAACATCAACACGGCTCTCCAGCTCCAACGCACACCTGTGATTCAGCCAAGGTGAGAAGACTTGTTTGCCTCGCTCCTCCTAATTATCCCCTTGGTGAGAAAATGAGAAGAAAGTACAGGCTGATCACGGAGTCTTTCCCTCCACAATTACACCGCGAATCAGGATGGCCCCACGGGACTGCCCTTTCCCTGCGTAACCCCGCCCCCGACGACAGGGAGCGGGTGCGCCAGGGGCAGAGCAACTGAACAGGGTAATGGGGCCTTGGTAGGTAAACAGGCCCAGCAGGGGCTCCACAGCCCCACCCCACACAGGAGGTGAATCCCGGAGCACCTGCTAGGGAAAACCCGGGACAGCCCGAGCAACTCTTCACCCTCTACTTCCCTGTGCAAGGCATGGGAGTGGGGGCAGATAAACGTCTCCACATGGTGGCAGTTCCCCAAAAGGCCCCAAGTTGTCAGCACTGAAACCAATCACGCCAAAGTCCCCATAGGCCTTTGCACTAACCTGGGGCTCACTGCCGAGGGCTACAAAGCCCTTCTGGGATCCCATCCCACCACGCCTGTCACTGACAGCCCTTTTTGAGGCAAGAAAGGAGTAGGAGGTAACTATCTTCCTTTCCCATGTCAAAGGGAAACAAGGCCCAGAGCTATTCGGTCAGGAATTATCCGTTACTCCCACAGCACTCTGCACTGTGCAGAGCACCTGCACACACGCGGCCCAGCCTGGACAGGGATGCTCAGCTCCATTTCGCAGATGAGGAAAGGAAGTTCTGGGGAGATGATGTGTCCGGAGGAGATGGAGACAGATGCGAACCTGCTCCACAGCCTCAAAGGAGGGCTCTCCAGGACCCCAGCCACAGCCACAGGCCTGGTGCCGGATTTCTTTGAAGAGCACAATAGCTCCACTGAAAGCCTGTATAAACCCCCCACTGCTGGTGTGGGTGAACAGATGCCAGAGGTTCAGGAGCACTTTGGTCTTTCTCCTAAACCTTGTTTTTTCTTACCTTCCATGTACCCTGAGACTCAGGATGAGTCGACGGCTTTTCAAAGCCACAATACCACCCTGATGGCACAGGTCAGGGTGTTCAGGCAGAGCTTTGTAAGGTTCCCACTGCAGGGGCTGCATCCAGACTGGCCACATGGCCTGGGGAGGGGCTCTCGCTGTCCCGGGGTCCTGGAGCACATCGCTGGCCACCTCGGGGCCTGGCAGGGTAGTGGACGTGACACACAGAGGCCCGCTCCAACATAAGCAGATGGACGCAATCCCCAGCCCCTGAGCCAACCTGGACCCTTGCCTCCTTAAAAAGTGAGGGTATTTCTTTTCACAATACAGTGTCTAGAAAGTTGCTTACATAACACGATACTGTGGGCGTACAGCAGTTATCTGTAAACACTCATATCTGATAAGGAAACATCAGTTTATTCCTCAAGCTTTCCTGCTACACATCTACTTAAAATTCCCTTGATCTTATTTAGGTTAAAAATAACCCCCAAGGCAACAACAGTGTGTGTGTGTGTGTGTGTGTGTGTGTGTGTGTGTGTGTGTCTCCCCTCTATTTTTACCTGTACAGGTCGGGAAGGTCACATAGCAAAGTGATAATGATGATGATTCTGGGGCCACCACCAGGTATGGGAACCACTGGAAAACACTTTTGAACTTTGGAATCCAGGTTCATTCATATCTTAGCAGTGTTCTCTTAGAGAAGTTTCTTAACCTTCCACAAACTCAGAATCGACTAGGGAATGGGGAGAAGGATGCCAGCCTTACAGGATTGTCGTAAATGCCAGAGGTAATACCCACAGTAAGTGTTGGTTGTGATCATTCTACTTCTGCAAAAGAGGACGGTTGCCCAAAGGCCACACCTCCAGCCTCCCTGTAGCTGTAGGAGAGAACTAAGAGTATCACTCATTATTCTTGAGTCCTGGATTTGCATAGTCCTGGCTGTGGCGTGACCCCAGCCCATGGGCCATTTACTTCCTGGTGGAGATTAGCGTGTACTGGCGATTTTCTATTTGCTCACCTCCACCCGTGACCTCAAATCCATTTCCCACCTTTCTTCACCTGCTCTGTGGCCTCGTGGTGGCCCTGCGTGGCTTTCAGCTGGGATCTGCTGATGGGAAGCTCCAGCTTGAACTTGGGTATTTATCCCCTACTCTCTCCCCACTCTGCCAAACCTCGCAGTGGTTCTTGTCCCTTCTATTGCCAGAGCACCTGTGCGGCAGCCCGTCTCCCGTGATTCCAGCCCTTGCTGCCTGTGTACACAGTCCTCTCATGATACCCCAGATAAACCCTCTGAGAGTGCCACTCGCTTCCTGCCAGGACCCTGACTGCAGCAACAGAGAGGAGGCTTTCTCAGTGTGAACTGTAACACTGTTAGAAAGGAGACTAAAAATAACTGGAGCTCTGGAGGCAGAGTAACATTGTCCAGTTCAGGCTGGGGCTCTGATTTTCACCCTGGAACCTTCAGGAACTGAAGCAATTTTCACCTAGTAGAGAGACCACTGAAGAAAGAGCCTGAACCTAGACACCTTGACTTCCCCTGCAGCGAGGAGCCCATTCTCCACCTCTCTACAGTAATGAGATCCCTGGGGTGGGCCAGGGAAGAAGCTGCATCCTTGATGACCACTCCCAAGTCTGTGCCCTTAAACCGGTCCACCACCTGCGGCCTCTATGGGAAGACCTGGGAAGGTGGTTGAGAGCAGGAGAGGCAAAGAAGGGGGTGAGCGCAGCCTCAGCTCCTGACTGTGCCTTCCCACCCACGAAACACTCTCCACAGTGCAGATGGGGGCGAGGAGCATGCTTCAGCCACCAGCTGGCTCATCAGCACGGATGGGGATGACCAGAGTTAAGAGACTGTCTGTGAAAACAAAATGCTAAAAAGAAACATAGCTTCATGTCTTCTTAGAAACGATAGACATGTCCTTAGGTGAGGTTTAAAAAAAAACAAACCAAAAAACTGTAGCTCATGAAAAGAGAGACTGTGATAAACTAGAATTCACTGCAAGATTATCAAATACAAAGCTAAATCCTGTTGGAATCCTTTCTCCTTGTAGAGCGCCCCCCAATGGCACACAGCATGGGGGCCATGTTACCCAAGTTTGAAAAAATGATCCAGAGACAAATTCCTAGAAACATTTGAGAAGGAAAAACAGATATCGCTGAACACACTGGGTAATTTCATCCACAGAAAAACCACCAGTAACTCCAACACTTTAAGAGAAAAACAATCTCCTGGGCCCAAAACATCAAGAATACACAAGAACACATAATAGCCTTCCAACCACCCTAACCCTAGCACATAGGACGGCGCTTGTTGACAGGCCCATATTCCACCCACAGAGCCAGCAGGCATTCCATCCTACACCTACTGGAAATTTAATCAATGGGAGAGCAGGGTTGCATGCTGGTGCAGAGCTCTACTCAGGCACAACAGAGTGAGCAGAACTGCACAATGATTTGCAGTCTAGACACAGTGGCTGAGTCTGATTCTCATTCCGCTTCACACCATGTTTACTTTTTCTCTGCTTAAACTTACCTCCCTCTTGCTGCAGAGGGAATGCATGTGTGGGTGGTAGGATGAAGAATTCAGCCCTGTACATATTACATACGGTTGTTGTTCAAAGAGAAATAACATTGACAGGGAATAGTACTTGTACCAAACTGTCGGAAAATGACACATTAAGACATATGGCTAAATGGTTTCCCAGTATCCATCATCTTCCAAGCAATCAGTCAGTCGGTATACATGGTTTACTCCCAATCCAATTTTGAACCACTCAGGAGTTTAGCTTTTGCACTACTTGATCACACCTGAACTCATTATTCAAACAGGCCTCGCTGCAGAGATTTGAGTAGTGGCAACTGGTCACCAAAAGTGATTCTCGAAGCCCTCCAGCTTGGTGCTCCACCTTACCAGTCGAGTCGGCCCCAGAAGCCCTGCCACTCAGCTGCTCCTCCGCGTTGACGAGCTGCAGGTCTGTGTACGAGGGGCCGCAGCTAGGACTGCTGGTGTCTTCAGAATGTGTGGTCCAGCTGCTCTCAGAGGTCAAAGGGCATCTGCCCAGAGAGTTGAAGGAAGGGCATGTCCAGCAAGGCATCGTCAATGGTTGGCCTGGGGAGAAATCACAAACCAAGAGCATTCACTATAAAGAGTTATACTCTGCTTACCTTTACAGCTTGTCTTTTTTTTTAAGAGTTTTTTTTTTTTTTTTTAAGACTAGTTTTAGAGAGAGGGGAAGGGAGGGAGAAAGAGAGGAAATGAAATATCAGTGTGTGGTTGCCTCTCACACACCCCCTTACTGGGGACCTGGCCCACAACCCAGGAATATGCCCAGACTGGGAACTGAACCAGCCACCCTTTGGTTCATAGGCTAGCACTCAATCCTCTGGGCCACACCACCCAAGTTAGAGCTTATCTTACTTTGGTATTTCTCAAAGCCTATGAAATCTCAACAGCTGCCCAAGGCAAGGAAGTATAGGCAGTACTGCTACTATAAAACAGTCCGTGGAGGACTACGGGAGTCTCTGCCCATTGACCAAGACCGAGGCATGGCAATAGTCTTACCCTGAGCTTGCTGAAAGCTAGAACAATGAATGGATAAAGCCCAAGCCCACCCTGAAGCTAGAGAGATGAATAGATAGGATCCTGAATGCACTAAACGCTAGAAAGATAATTGGATTAGGGAAAAAGCCTTCCTCTCCCTAACTCAGTAAGAACTGTGAACTTGAGGAGGAGATAGAAATGGTCTTTGAGAAGTGACTCCACCATTCTCTCAGGTTGTGTGGAACCTACATGAACCACTTTCCTTCTGCATCAGCACCCTCCTCGCAAGTTTGGTTTCTGTGGTGACAGGCAGCTGAACCTTGTTTTTTGTTTGCTAGCAGTTCTACTCAGAATACAGAACAGGGAAAAGCAGCTAAGACCCCAGAGTGCGCCAGGGCTGACATCAGTCGTCGGAGGTCTCGTGACCCTCAGATCAAAAACTAAAATCTCACTAAAGGATAGCAATAATTTTAGGGTTTACTTTTATTCCTAAACTAGATTTCAGTTTCATTCGAACCCAAATCCATGAGTCTTACAGTTTCCTTCTTACCCTCACATTTCCTCCATTTTTAGTGGCAGACCAAAGAGCTAAAAAAAAATCCACCCATTTACACTGCAGAATTAGCTCTGGATTGGGTGAAGAAAGTAAAAAAAAAAACAATTTAAGAGAATTCATTATTTGCAGATTCTACTTTTGTATACATAAACTTCCCCCCAAAAGATCCTAGTGATAAATTACCAAAGTAAAAATTTTAACAAGGTACTTTAGAACATTTCTGAACAGCAGCAAGAAATATTTATAAAATGAAACTTAAAGCAAGATAGCATTTATAATAGTAACGGAAACTATGAAGCGTAAATAGTAATAAACCTAACAAGAGATGTGTAAGGCCTCCGGAATTTTTCTAAAGTTTAAAAAAGTTTTTAAAGTTTAAACTTTTTCTAAAGTTTAGTTCTCCTCTATGGTCTAATAAAGGGAGAAATACATTAAGGGATCAAAAGATTTAATGTGTTAAAGATGTTAATTCTCCACAAATTGGTTTATAGATTTATTGCATTTTCAATAAAAATTCTGAATGTCTCTTTTTCTCACATTAATAAGCAGAATCATACTATTCAGGTATGAATGAAGTAAGATTTGTAATAATATAAGTATACATTTAAAATAAATAAAATAGAAATGAAACTGGGAAAATACTATATAGAAAAAATTAGATTCCTACTTCACACTATACAGAAAAATCAATTCTAAGTAGACCAAATGTCAAAGTGGAAAATGCTATGCAAGAAGTATTTGAGAAGATGTAGAACTAAATATGCTCATCGCTTCAGGACGGGGAAAGGTCTTCTTCACCAAGGCACAGACAGCACTCAGCATAAAAGAAAAACAGACAAATTTTACATCATGAATTTTAAGAACTTCTTTTCAACAAAAGGCACCATAAAGAGAGTGAAAAGATTGTCCCCAGGGTAGGAAATAATGCCTACCATATATTATATCCACAAGAAACTCCTAGAAATCAGCAAGAAAAAAGAGATACTCCAACAAGAATATATTTGAATAGCAGTCAATTAATATTTGACAAAGGGGGCAGCAACATAAAATGGAGTAAAAATAACCTCTTCAACAAATGGTGCTGGGAGAACTGGATAGCTACATGCAAAAAAATGAAACTCGAGCACCAACTTACACCATACACAAAAATAAATTCAAGGTGGATAAAAGATTTAAATATAAACCATGACACCATTAAAGTCCTAGAGGAGCACATAGGCAGGAAAATCTCAGATATTTCACACAGCAACATTTTTACTGATCGGTCCCCTAGAGCAAGGGACATAAAGGAAAGAATAAACAAATGGGATCTCATCAAAATAAAAAGCTTCTGCATGGCTAAAAAAACCCAGTATTAAAATAAAAAGAGAACCAAGCATATGGAAAAACATATTTGCCAATGATAATTCAGACAAGGGTTTAATCTCCAAAATATATAAAGAACCTACATGACTCCACTCTAAGAAGACAAGCAACCCAACTAAAAGTGGGCAAAGGACTTGACCAGACACTTCTCCAAGGAGGACATACAGAGGATCCAAAGACGTATTTAAAGATGCTCAATATCGCTAGCTATCACAGAGATGCAAATTAAAATTGCAATGAGGGGACTTGCCAAGATGGAGGTGTAGGTGGAAGCACTGTACCTTCTCCCACAACCAAGTTTAAAAACAACAAAGTTTTAGCAACAAAAACGCAGCCAAACCACAGAAAATTGAACTATACAAAAGTCTTAACAACAACGAACCCGTCAGCCAAACCGGTAAGAGGGGCAGAGCCAGCAGCAGAGCGAGGTCAGGCAGGAAAGATCCACCAGACCGACCCAGGCACTCGACCCAGGTGTGCCAGCAGCCGTGGGCGGATCCCAGGTGTGGAGTAGTGGGCAGACCCACTGAGCGCACAAGGCGTTGGACCCACTGAGGGCTGACCGCAGTCACACATTCGCGCGCAGATAAACCAGTGAAGGAGCGAGCAGTGAGACTGATGTGCAGGCCCCAGTGGCGGGAAGCAGCAGAGGGGACCACCATTGTCCCTCTCTGACCCGCCCCCACATACAGCGTCACAAACCCGTGACCTGGGTAGCCCCACCCTGGTGAACAACTAAGGCTCCACTCCTCTAATGTAACAGGCATGAACAGATCAAAACATGGCTCAAGAACAGCTCAGAGCCCCAGAGACCATAAATCTAAGCGATGAAGAAATAGCCACATTTTCAGATGCACAGTTCAAAACACTGGTGATCAGGATGCTCACAGAACTGGTTGATTTTAGTCACAAATTAGAGAAACATATGAAGGCTAAACTAATTGAAATGAAGGGAAATGCACAGCAAACCAATAGTGATGGAAAGGAAACTAGGACTCAAATCAAAGGAGTGGACCAGAAGGAGGAAAAAAATGAACAAACAGAAAAGAATGAAGAAACAAAAATTCAAAAAAATGAGGAGAGGCTAAGGAACCTCCAGGACATCTTTAAACGTTCCTACATCCGAATTATAGGGGTACCAGAAGGGGAAGAGGAACAGCCACCAGTGGAAAACTTATTTAAACAAATAATAAAGGAGAATTTCCCCATGTGGCAAAGGAAGTAGAATTCCAGGAAATCCAGGAAGCTCAGAGAGTTCCAAAGAAGTTGGACCCAAGAAGAAACATACCAGGGCACATCATCATTACATTAGCCAAGATTAAAATGAAAGAGAGAATTCTAGAAGCAGCAAGAGATAAGGGGATAGTCACCTACAAAGGAGTTCCCATCAGACTGTCAGCTGATTTCTCAAAAGAGACCTTACAGGCAAGAAGGGGCTGGAAAGAGGTATTCCAAGTCATGAAATCCAAAGACCTACAACCAAGATTGCTCCATCCAGCAAAGCTTTCATTTAGAATGGAAGGGCAGATAAAGTGCTTCTCAGATAAGATCAAGTTCAAGGAGTTCATCATCACCAAGCCCTTATTATATGAAATGTTAAAGGGATTTACCTAAGAAAAAGAAGATAAAAAAGATGAACAGTGAAAGGACAGCAAACTCACAGTTATTAACAACCACACCTAAAACAAAAGCAAACTAAGAAGACAGCTAGATTCCAGGAGCAGAACCATAGAAATGAAGATCACATGAAGGGTCAGCAACAGGGGAGTGGGAGAAGGAGAAGGGGGAGAAGGTACAGAAAATAAGTAGCATAGATGGTAGGTAGAAAATAGACAGGGGGGAGGGCAAGAATAGTAGGGGAATATAGAATCTAAAGAACGTGAGACACGTGGTCATAAACTAAAGGGGGGGAATGGTGGGGAAGGGGGTGTGCAGGGTGGAGGGGAATGAAGGGGGGAAATGGAACTGTAATGGCATAATCAATAAAATATATTTTTAAAAAATCACAATGAGATACCACTTCACACTGCTGAGAATGGCCATCATAGACAAAGCAACAAACAAGTACTGAGGAGGTTGTGGAGAAAAGGGAACCCTAGTGCACTGTTGGTGGGATTGTAGACTGGTACAACCACTATGGAAAACAGTATGAAGTTTTCTCAGAAAACTAAAAATGGATCTGCCTTTTGACCCAGCAATTCCACTGCTAGGATTACACCCTAATAATCCTGAAACACCAATCCAAAACAATTTATGCACCCCAATGTTCACAGCTGCACAATTTACAATAGCCAAGAGCTGGAAGCAACCTAGGTGCTCATCAGTAAATGAATGGATCCAAAAACTATAGTACATTTACACAATGGAGTTCTACGCAGCAGAAAGAAAGAAGGAGCTCCTACCCTTTGTGACAGCATGGATGGAACTGGAAAGCATTATGCTAAGTGAAATAATCCAGGCAGTGAAAGACATATACCATATGATCTCACCTTTAACAGGAACCTAATCAACAAAATGAACAAGCAAGCAAAATATAACCAAAGACACTGAAATAGAGAACAAGCTGACAGAGACCAGAGGGGAGGGAATTTCAGGGGAAAGGGGGAAAAGTTTACAGGAACAAATATAAAGGACACATGGTCAAAAA